GACTGCTGAACGACACGTTATGCAAAGATAAACTCGACCTAATTGGAGTCATAGAGAGAGAGTGAGAGAGAGAGAAAGAGCGAGAGAGAGAGAGAGAGAGAGAGAGAGAGAGAGAGAGAGAGAGAGAGAGAGAGAGAGAAAGAGAGCGAGAGAGTGATAGAGTTAGGGTTCTCAGGCCTACCCCTGGACATCACTGTCGTTGGCGTAGTCCTCGTAGTCATTCACGCCTTCTTCTTGGGCTATAATTCGGCTAAAACGTAGTGGTCAACTACGCACTAATAGAATTTTCGTACCAAATGAAAAGTAGACAAAGCAGCTGCCAGATGGCGCGCATGATTGAGTGAGGTGATTCGCTCCAATTTTCACCGGTTTATCACCGGGTCTGGATGCAAAATAATTTTAATTTCAGGCAGCTGCAACGAGGTTACGGTACATGACGCCCTCGGCGCGGTAGTATGACGTGTGAGTGCGGGGACCTACTACGGAATTCCCTGTTATTTTCGAACTCAATAAAACCAACAATCGCAAATTGAACGATTTATACATCAAATGTGCCGGAAATGGTTTGAGTGATTGTAGTATGTAGATTTTTGTCGGCTAGCCCATCGTCGAGGTTCTTCAGAAGTAGGGGCAGGTCGGCCGTTGCACCATGCGATCGCCGGGCTTGCAGTTGAACGCTTGCTAAAATGCAGCATACCAAGCCTAACTTAAGCCTAAGGCTAAGCCCAAGCCTCAGCCTAAGCCTATGCTTAAGCCGATGCCTAAGGCTAAGCCCAAGCCTCAGCCTAAGCATATGCATCCGCGTATTCCGAAGCCTAAGCCCACTCAGCCTACGTCTTCCTTACCGCAAACTCCTCCATATTGCAGTGAACCATGTTGACGCGGATGCGGGTGGCCGAGTGGACGGCAAGGCCCCTTGCGCCCATACTGAAACAAGCAATGTCGATAGCCACGGAGCGACTGACAAGTGCTGCGAACGGTCATTGGTGTCGCAGTAGCGGATGGCGCGTGTGTAGAAGAAGAGCTGCGCCCGTGTCACGCCCAGTTCCGGGTAGACGATATGCTGGAACGTAAAAATCGGGTGATTAAGGCGGCCTGCAAGGCTCAGGCTCAGGCTTAGGCTTAGGCTTAGGGCTTAGGCTTAGGCTTAGGCTTAGGCTAAGGCATGCTGCGCGGATGACCTTCAATGCCTCTTCGCTCGGCCACTGCTCGCGAATCTCGGCGCGAAAGGCCTAAATAAAATCGAATCGAGAAACGAAAGTTGAGTTGTTACCTCCCAAGCAATTCGGAGGCCCGTCACGTCGGAGCGATCCTCGGTGAACGTGTGATGGCCGCTGAAGCAGTCCTGGAAAATTATGTAGCAGAAGGAATAAAAATTTGGAATTTTCAGAATCTGGAATTTTCAGAATCTCGAAATATACCTATGCTGGATCAGGGCTTAGGCGTGCAATTTCCGGAGCCTTTAGACCATGGAAACATCTAGATTAAAAAAATTCGAGATTCTGAAAATTCGAGATTCGGTAGAGATCCTGATTTTCGAGATTCTGATGTTCGGGATTTTACAAATTCCCTAGACAGTCGCTCCCGGATATTGAAAAGTTCCCAAATTTACGTAATACAACCAACCTTCTCCTGCCAAATCTGGCAGGCCCGACGGGCGCGCTCGCGAATGCAGATTTCGGAAGGGCGAGCCAGGACGAATCGCTAAAACCACGTAGCGTTTGAGTTTTCGGGTATGTCCGAAAAATTTAAAGGGACGGGCACTTCATGAATCCGTTTTTTCCGGTTCCATGAAAACCCTACTCTGCCAGGGCCCGGAATCCGAAGAGAATAGGGCATCGAGTGCATGAACTCGTGGGCCATCACGGCGCCGGAGAAGCCGTACTGAAAGGGGGGGGGGATAGTAGAAGTATAGAAGTAAAGAAGTAAATATTCTCCATTTTGCTGGGATAGACGGTACTTTTTGCAATATTGGGGCGGGGGCGGGTTTCCCAACCTTTCAGTCTCAATTCGAGGGTCTCTCATTTATGAAATTCTCTGATTCTCCGTCACGGAGGGAAATCGACCCTGCAATTTCCGATAGCGTTTTCCGAATTTCGACAAAAGTTTACAAAGTTAAAGCCGGGGTTAGAGTGCAGATTTTTTGAATTTCGATGCTGTGAATTTCGACATTATGCCTTGCAGTTGGTGATAATAAACACCGAAAAGCACGCACCGCAATGGCGGGATCGGATTTCGGGTCCACGAGAAGCGGCATCAGCGCTGCTACCGCCAGCGATACGTACCGACCGATGGCGTTGCTTCCTGGAAAACGCGATGGCTTCGTATGTCGAATGATTACCAATTTTATCGAAGGCGGCGCCCAACAGATGCTGAATAGAGCTGTGCTCCTCGATCCGGGGCAGCAAAATTGTCCGCCAGATATAGACACCTTCGAAGTAACGCTCCGGGAACTCTTCGGGTGTGAACTGGGGGAAAGGTAGAATAAAGGTTCTTTCGGCTACGGTTTACTTTACCCCCCCAGCCGAAAATTTTTGGCTATAACCTTTTTATTTTACACCAGCCGATTACAGCCGCTTCGCGACTGTAATCGACTGGCCTTCGGGCTGCCCTCCATGTTATACACCACCACATTACACCTCTACCTTCATCAATACCCACGCTGGCGCTTCAGATACCTTCTATGGCCAACCCCTGCTAAAACTTAGCTACTTTACTTGGCTTTAGATACTTCCGCTAGCCGAAATCCCCTCAAAAAAAACTATATCGATACCTTCCTGATGGCTTCAGATACCCCCCATGGCTGAAATCCCCTTCGAAAACTACCTAAATACCTTCCCGATGGCTTTAAATACCTCCCCTAGCCGAAATCCTTTTAAAAAACGAAAATAACGAGCGACCGGATGGAATGAGAGAAAAAAGCAATGAAATCCCCATGAAAATTTTCATCCACGAAACGCGCGCCACCTGGCTCACTATGTCCAAAATCCCCCCAACCTCCGTCCCTCACCCCTTTTACTAAGGAAAAAACTTTCAAAGTTAATTTTAATAATTTAAACTAAAACTTTTTCATAATTTTTTTATCAGTTTGGGGGTTTTTGACCACGCTCTATCCGAATCCGAAGAGAGCTAAGCTCTAGCTCCTTTCCCCTTCGAGTTGAATCCGGGACATGACAGACAGACGGACAGACAGACAGACAGACACCACTACTTTTTTATTATAGTTGATTATTGTAAGCTCAAATTAAAACTCTGAGTATATTTTTCGACGCTCTATCGAATGGTGTTGCAAAAATCCCGACAAAATAAGCCAAAATACCGAAAACTTTGAAAACCGAAAAAAATTTTGTTAAAATATCGATTTTTCTTCAAAAATTTCGCATAAAAAAATTTGAAGGTTTTAGGCGCTTTCCGACTTGACGAATAGTGAAATTTGATCTTGTTAAGACTATTGGTAAAATACTTGACGCAAAACTGGCTCACCCCCAGATGCTCAAACATCCTCTCGGCACGCCTGCCGAGCTTGTGCAGCCCCTGAAGCTGCTCGAGCGACTCGTCGACCAGCTCGAAGAAGACGGTTGTCTACGTCGTTTTTATAGGTTGAAAATCTCTCTCTCTCTTACCTCGTTGATGGCCTGCTCGTGCTTGTCGCGCAGCTCCTCGTAGTTGGGCTCGCGGGAAAATGTCTGGGATATTTTTGGGTTTGATGATTTGATGAATTTGAATGGCCTATATGGACAAACAAAATGCGGTTCTTTCGCATTATCGGGGGGTTTCTTGTTTAATTCGAGAGTGCCCATTAACTTAATATAAAGCGTTTTAACAGTGTTTTTAGTAAAATGTAACTATAATTCAACTAGAAAAATTATCTAAAAAGTTTTAAGAATGTTCGAAAAAGTTGAAATTTTGACCAAAAATCGGCCTCTTTGTCCCAAAAAATCGATATTTTCGATATTTTTAATAAAGATTTGTAAAGTTTTCACTCTAGAAATAGTAAAAAAACAATTTAGAAATACTTCACTATTTATATTTGCGAAATTAGACTCTAAGAAAAAGGCACTAAATGCCGAGAGCTAAAAATTCCGGCAGCCATACCGAAAGAGAATATTCCGGACGACAACTTATGCAAATTCAAGGCGCCGAACGCCAAAATTCCGACAGCCAAAAGCCGACAGCTAAAATTTCGGCATCGAATCGACGACCTCTTGGGTGTCGGCATTTTGAAGTCCGAATTGTCGGTATTTGGCCATCGCCCTTTTTCGACATTTGCATAAATCTCCACCCACCTCCAATAATTTCAGCATCTGAGCTTGCAATTTCTTGGCGATTTTCGGCAGTCGTTCGCTTTTCGCGTTGCCGCCGGCCTGTGGAAATGCATGCGAAAAGCTAGCTTTGTGAAAAATTTGAAAAATTCAGGAAAAGGGAAGTTTTGCGAGGTTTTCAATGAATTTTTAGTCAACAAAAAAATACCAAGACGTCGGTCATGACCTCGACACGATCGGCGATGTACAAAGTGTCTTTCATTAACTAAAAGCGGTGAAAATGGAACAATTATGCGAAATTCGAAACACCGTTCCGAGCAATCTGCCCTCCTCGCGCAGCGTTGGCACGTCTTCGTGCATCTCCTCGACCATCGCGCGCATTTCCTAAAATCGGGTTTATTTGTTTTAACCCTTTTTAGAACCAATTTCATGAAAAATGAAAATCTAAAAATTTGTGCGATAAATTTTCCAGACTCACTTCTTGCAGCTGGCGCCCCATTAGCTGATCGGGATCCGGCACAAAGTCGAATTCTATTTCATCCTCGAACGCCCCGCCCACAATTCCCCAAGACTCATCGTGACGATTTTCTATGAAAAAGTAGTGTTAGAAGCGCATTACAAATTCTGATACCTTGCACCTGTCCTTGATAGGTATCGCGTATGTCCATCGATACCGGGCAAATCTGTAACAGCTTATTTTGCATTTATCTAAGAAAAACGATTTTTAGGGTATTTTTGGACCAGCTGAACTCCAGATACCCCCTCCCCCAAGCCGGCCACCAGCTACCGTATCTCGGCTCCCTGTTCATCTACAAGTGTGACAAGTATACCAAAATACTCACCAGTGCAAGACAAACATTTTGGGATACTTTACATACCTGTAGATGAACAGGGAGCCGAGATACAAAAGGTGTGGGCCGGCTGGGGGCCGGGGGGGGGGGGTTATCTGGAGTCTTACCCGAAATCCAGTAATACCCACGTGCCGGTAGAAGTTATCGCACGCGTTGATGGCCGGGTCGCGAAAGTGGGTGATGAACTGCTTGAAGAAGTCCTTCCTCAGAATGTCGGCCTTGCGCGGCCGGTGCTGCGGCGCCCACGTATTATACGGACTGTAGCGACGATGGCGGCCGCTGAAGCATGAAGCATGTTTGATGCTCTAATTTACCCATGAGCATCACTGCCGGGAATGTTATACTCGTCCTCATAATCATCCCAGAGCTCGTGCTCCTGAGCTCCAGCTCGGCTAAAACGCAACTGCTACGCATTAATGGAGCTTCGTACCAAGTCGAAAGGAAACACAGCAGCAGCCAGACGGCATGCATGGTGGAGAGATATGGGTTGGAAAAATGCGAATTTTGCCTCTGATGTAAATCACTCATTGAAACAACGGTAAGAATAATAAAGTGTTTATTACAGGGACTGGAATTGGTCAAAAAAGTGGCATAGATATGTGTTTCATTGTTGGAATGGTCATTGTTCGATTCTCTTCGAGTCCGGCTAGAAGTAAGGGCAGGTCGGCCGTTGCACCATGCGGTCGCCGGGCTTGCAGTTGAACGCCTCCTGAAAACTTGTTTTTAACAATGCTGTAGCAGAGAGAGAGAAAGAGAGAGAGAGAGAGAGAGAGAGTAAGAGAGAGAGCGAGAGAGAGAGAGAGCGACAAAGAAAATCCAAAGTAATTCTTACCGCAAACTCCTCCATGTTGCTGTGCATCATGTTGACGCGGATACGGTGCGCCGAGTGCACGTCACGCTCCCTGGCGGTCATATTGAAGGTGAAAGGTATGGTATCAGGTGGCGGGCAGGCTTGGCTATAGGTTTTCCTTACAATTCCGCCGGGCTACGCCTCCGCTACGCTACTATCGACCACGGGTCTGTTAGTCCACCACCGCTTTCCACGACTTTTCCCCCAAACATTCTGATGGTCAGATGCTCACATGTGTTGCGACCACTCATAGGGCACGCAGAACGGGATGGCCTGGGCGTAGAAGAAGAGCTGCTCCCGGGTCACGCCAAGGGCTGGGTAGATGAGTGTCTGAAATCGAGTTTATTCCATACCTTTACACTAAAATAATACCTTCAACGGTCTGTCTTTCGATTGCCACTCTCGCAACTCGGTTAGAAAAGCCTAAAAATTTATTAAATTTGCCAATTAGCATTTTCCCTACCTCCCAAGCAATTCTCACTCCCGTGAAGTCGGAGCGATCCTCCTTGAACGTGTTGACGCCGCTGAAGCAATCCTAAAAGAATTGGCGGTTTTTGGTGGTGTCTGAACTTTAAGGTATACTTCAATATACCTTAAACATAGTCTTTTTTTTCTGAAAAACGATACCTGCTCTTGCCACAGTTGGCAAGCGCGACGGGCGCGCTCGACGATGCAGATCTCGGAAGGGCGCGCCGGGACGGGCTTCTTAAATTTCATATTTTTTGGACAATTGTAGTAAACATAGTGTTGATGAAAAATAACGGGCTTCTGCTGCGTTACCATACGCTACGCCGAAAGCACAAAGTTCTACCTGCGGGTTGCCTGGCGTCAAGAAGTAGGGCATCGGGTGCATGAACTCGTGTGCCATGATGACGCCAAGTGAACCGTACTGCAACGCCCCAATTTTCAGGATAACGAGAATCGGTACTTTTGCATTATCAGGGTGGGAGAGATTATGTGGGGGAAAAATCACCTTAAGATCCAATTTTCCTGAAAATAAATGGCGGAACCTTTATAAACTTTTTCTACTCTTCCTAGGCGTAAAATGTTAAAAAGAATTGTAAAAAAACCAGATGGTTACAGTCGCTTCGCGACTGCAACCATCTGGCCTTCGGGCTACCCTACATTTCCCACGTCACCACATCCTTTCCCACCTCCATCAATTCCCCCCCCACCCCCCATAGCCGAAATCCCGTTCAAAAACGACCTAAATACCTTCCTGATGGCTTCAGATCCCCCCCATGGCCGAAATCCCCTTCAAAAACTACCTAAATACCTTCCTGATGGCTTCAGATACCCCCCATGGCTGAAATCCCCTTCAAAAACTACCTAAATACCTTCCTGATGGCTTCAGATCCCCCCCCCATGGCCGAAATCCCCTTCAAAAACTACCTAAATACCTTCCTGATGGCTTCAGATACCCCCATGGCTGAAATCCCCTTCAAAAACTACCCAAATACCTTCCTGATGGCTTCAGATACCCCCCATGGCTGAAGTCCCCTTCAAAAACTACCTAAATACCTTCCTGATGGCTTTAGACACCTCCCCTAGGCGAATGCCCCTTAAAAAACTAAAATAACGACCGACCGGATACGTGGGAGAAAAATAGAAATGAAATCGCTCCCCTGAAAATTTTCATCCAGGGAACGCACGCCACCTGGCTCACTATGTCCAAAATCCCCCCAACCTCCGTCCCCCACGCCTTTTACTAAGGAAAAAACTTTCAAAGTTAATTTTAATAATTTAAACTAAAACTTTTTCGTAATTTTTTATCAGTTTGGGGGTTTCCGACCACGCTCTATCCGAATCCGAAGAGAGCTAAGCTCTAGCTCCTTTCCCCTTCGAGTTGAATTCGGCTTCAGACGGACGGACGGACGGACAGAGACCACAGCAAAATTATTATAGTTG